TGTAATATCTGCAGATGAGAAGGGAATTATCTAGTATTGGAGCCCCGCCACACTTCAGTTCCCAGAAAGTGAGTATGTGCTGATCTTCACATATACAACCATTAACAATGTACTTTTATTGCAGAGCAGATTTACATTTTCAACTACCATTTAAAGATGAACTTTATTTTTTGTTTGGATTACCCTAGAAACCTTCTTTCCATTGTTAAAGACCAATACTGTAGGCTGATTATGGTGTTGACATGATGAGCCTTTCATCTGTAGATGAACGTAAGTTTTTTTTAATTTCTTAATTGGTAAATATGGTGAATGCAGTGTCAATTTTAGATTGAAAAGTGATACAAATCTCTTCGAAATTGCAAAATGCAAGACAACCTTTTCTGCAATTGAGGTACAATCTATACACTTGCATTCAAGTTGGTTTGTATCTGGATTTATGACTATAATCTTTTTGTTGAATGCTTTTGTAAATTTTCAATTGTTTATTCTTTTTTCTCGTTTTAAAGGAGATTGATATGACTACTGCATTTTATTGCCATTCAGGTGAGCCCAAATGGTAAGCAATTTTCTATTACATCACTTGATCGAAGGATACGTGTCTTTTGGTTCAGAACTGGTAAACTAAGGCAAGTTTATGATGAATCACTTGAGGTAAATTTAATGAATATTGGATTTTTATATAGATGCTTTGAAATTTCTTATGATGTTCAAAACCCTTTCGTTAGGTGGCCCAAGATCTTCAGAGAAGTGATGCTTCCATGTATTGGCTGGAAGCAATCGACTTTGGCAGAAGAATGGCTGTTGAAAAGGAAATTGAAAAAACTGAAACTGCACCACAACCAAATGCAGTTTTTGATGAAAGCTCTAATTTCCTCATATATGCTACTCTTCTGGGGATAAAAGTAAGAAGTTAGTTTCTGCTATTAGATTCTACAGCAAATAATTAGCTGAACCATTTTTGGGATGAGCAATAATTATAAATTTTTGTGCTCTATTCATTCTCTAATACTTGTTTATTTCCTTGTATATCATTTTTTGATAGATGGTAAATTTACATACCAACAAAGTTGCTCGAATACTTGGAAAGGTGGGTTGACCGAAGCAGCAAGAAAGTAAGAAAAATTCCTTCTGCTGCAGCAAAGCTCAATAAGAGCAAAGAACCATTAACTGATCCAAGTTTCTTGTGTTGTGCTTTCAAGAAGCATAGGATATATTTATTCAGGTATAAGAATCTGCTGCAAGACTTCCACTGAATTCTAACAGCATGTTTGAATTTAGAATTTTCTGTGTGATATGCATCATGCCGCGAAGGGTGACTTCTAAATGCTACAAGGTTGAATCACCATTGAGTTACTCATGTTATCGAAGTCGGAATGGATGTTGGGTAATTGATGTCATAGGCTCATAGCAATAGATAAATTTATTTTCATAACAAGTCAAGTGTCATAGAATATTGTCATCTATATTGAAAGCTTTGTTATATGTCTAGCTTATGTTCCTCTGCATTGGTTGTTCCTTTGAAAATAAATTTCACCACGACAGTTGAGGTGCCTCTTTACTTTTAGTTAAAATTATGTTTTACCTTTTGAATACATTTGATTACTCTGATAGTTTTTAATGGTTTATATAGTCGACGAGAACCAGAAGAACCTAAAGATGCCACAAAAGGAAGGGATGTCTTTAATGAAAAGCCACCTGCTGATGAGCTTCTGGCCGCATCTGATATTGGAAAAGCAGTTACAACATCTCTTCCTAACAATGTGGTGAGTTTTCTTTCTGTTTTATTTGCTTGGAAAGGGGCTAGAAATTGTTGTGACTTGGTTCCATTCACCATAATAAAAATAAGAAAGTTCAATAAACAAAAGTGAATAAAAAAATGAGATCTTTGTTTGAATCTTTGAGAACATAAATAATGACAAATACATTTTTAAACTTTATCCAATAATCGTTTAGTTTGAAAATTCTTTAAGAACAGTTATTAGGACAGCGGACCAAAGGAACTCCTTTATATCCTCCCTCCCTTTCTCTTCCTCTTTCTTTTCTCCAGGCCATAACCAATTAATTGGTGTCCTAGAAGTTAAAAGGTTAACATTTTCTAGTATAAAATCTTTATTGGAATATTGTCAAAATTTTCTAGTTTTCGTGAAAATGAGCCATAAAAATAATTTAAAATAAGGTTTGAAAATAGTTATCCCAAAATCAATGCTAGTTTTACTATTCTCCTTTTTCTTCCTTTTTGTTTTCAGGGTAGGGTTCTTTTAAGTTTCTCATCTCTGAGATAGTTTAGCTCATTCTCTTTGCTTTATGTGCGTGTGCTGCATTCTTTTCTGATTAGCTTTCTGTTCTTCCAGATACTGCACACCACAATGGGTGATGTTTACATGAGACTCTCCGCAGAAGAATGTCCAAAAACTGTGGAGAACTTTACAACACACTGTCCGAATGGCTATTATGATAATCTCATCTTTCACTGTGTCATAAAATGATTTATGATACAAACAGGAGATCCAATGGGAGATGGCACTGGTGGGCAATCTATTTGGGGAAGGGAATTTGAGGATGAGTTTAACGAAAGGTATCCATTTTGGCTTTTTACAAGATGAAGCATTAGCATATTTCCACCTGGTACTTCTCACAACATTCTAGGATTTTCAGTTGTGACTGCGGTGCATTAGTTGGAGGACCACATGGATTAGATGTTCCTATGTCTTGATCTCCAACCTGTTTGTACCCCCTCCCACTTGATTGTATGCCTTCAGTCATGATCATATTAGCTTGCTTATGTGATGCTATAGGCTTTCTATAAATGCGGTTGATTTGGCATTAAGCTGGAATTAAATGATAAACAAGGATGCAAGTTCCCTTTTACTTCCTTGCTATTCTACTTTTAAGGTTATCAGGATCACTAGTTTCATGGCTTTCATTGGTCTGTGTTATTTATTGGATTTCTAAGGTGCATTAACTCAACTGACTGTTGGATGAAACATTTCTGCCCTTGCAGTTTACAACATGACAGGCCTTTCACGGTGTCGATGGCTAGCGCTGGCCCAAATACAAATGGTTCAGAGTTTTTTATAACCACAGTGGCTACTCCATGGCTGGATGATAAGCATACAGTATTTGGCAGAGTCATTAAGGGAATGGATGTCGTGCAGGTATATACATCTCTGCAGTCAGTACTAATTGGCTATTGTCGCTGTTGTAGTTTGCTTCTTTCATCTTTGCACACACATGCACTCGCACAAGAGAACTCTATGTTTCTTGACTTTGCTTTTCTTGAAAAGTTGAAAAAAATATATAAAAATTGGAGGTTTTGGGTTAATGAGATCCACATGTGAATTGCTTTGGAGCCTTAGAATGCGTGGTGCCTTGGGATGTTTAATATCAATTGACCGACGAATGTGATTCTCATGCACTGTTGGCAGGCTATTGAGAAAGTGAGGACAGAAAAAGCTGACTGTGCCAAAGAACTGAAAGTTTTTTTCCGCGGTGAATCTTTCTAAATGGAGTTTTATCTGCATTGACAATTGGCAGTGAGAGAGACTGTCTCAGGCTGAGTGGTTAGTTTTTTTTTTTTTTTTTGTTCGTTTTCTTCTCGCTGATCCATGTTAGAACTTTCATTTTGCCAATGGTCATCCAACATATACGTGCTAATTTGTTTCAACCACCTCTACGCTAGCAGGATTTATAGCTCAAATTTTCTCTTGGCGCACTTTTCATGTGTTGCTTTGCCTGCCAGGTATATCAGGCTTGCACATGATTGAAATCAGAAAATTTTTTACCCTCATCATGCAGTGTTAGGCGCAGGAGGTCTGGATCTTCAGTTTTGTATAACCTGCCTGGATTCTGACTTTTGGACAATGAACAGTAGTTTCCCTGTAGAATTGATATACTATATGCACGGCACCAAATTTAGACAGGGTCTTTTCTCTCTCTAAAACTGTGGACGTGTTTGTGCATCTGATTGCTTCTACATTCGGAAGACAAAAATCTATTCAAATTCTTTCACGGCAGAAATAGGGATATCTGCAACATGATTGCTACCACATGCAGAAAACAAAAATCCATTGAAAATATCACCTGTGGATGAAAGTGCTGAATAGAGTTTTCGTATATGTATAAAGTAAAACAATAATTTTTTACTAGTCATCAAAAGTTAAAAAGAAAGATAAAAGATAAAAAAAACACTCAGATCAAAACAATAAAAGATTAGACGTGCTAGTAGTCCTGATACGGGTAAAGAAAGAAGCTGGCCAACGAGTAAAGAAACCATCAGGGAGAGGCAACTTTTCCAAAGCCATAAAATCATGCATTATCCAGTGACTTAGCATATGCTATCGGTGAGGCTTATGCATACTCAATTCTTCTTCAGAATGAAGTTGTAAGGGTGATTAGATATCATTTGGATAATGCAAAAGCAAACGAATCTACGACCGACCAGTACTTTTACTTTGTATTTTGGATCCAGCCAACAAAAATTATGTGTTCTGTGAAAGATTGAAGAACCAACCTCTTCAGCCTAGAATGCACAACAGATACACGGAGGGTTTACTGTTTCATATGACCAAGTGCAATGACAATCTAAAATGAATAGGAAAGCATCTTTTCATTCTCTCTCTACCATATGGTAGAATAACAAACTGATTATAGACCAATAAATATGGATCCGCCCAAACTTGCTGCAATACTTTTGCAGTTTGATGATTGATATTGTCTCTAGTAATTCATAAACCCATAAAATCTTTGAGAGCATAAACTTAAAAGACTAACTAGAGAGGAAGCAAACCAGCTCTATGCAACTGACTAAAAGATTGTGTAACTTGATGCATGAAAGAGCAGCTTTACTTAAGACCTAACTCGGAACAAAAGAGAAGAACAACAGAAAGAATCCTCATAGTCAAAGGTTTAATGACAGTATGACACCATGCAATATTCATTCAGTCACCGAAAAATCTAGCTCAACCATTAGTAGTATAACAGGTAATCCAAAAAATCCACAATTATAACTGAAAAGGTAATATCTTTAACTACATTTTCCAAACAAAACTTAAAGTTCCAAGAAGATCTAAAACCATGTTCAACTACAGAGCAACAAACATATAAACCTTGTAACACTCAAATAAAAGCACTGACTGCATATAAGAAGCCTTGATATTTGCAATACTTGCTTAGTCGAATAGGCTGAAACCCATGTCCTGCATCAAAAGGAAATTATATTAGTGAAGAACACACCACCAATTAAGAATCAATACAAGTCAACTTCTGTGTAAAAATGATTACATCATCGGACTCTTCCTTTTCCTCGACCTTCTCCTCTTTCTTGGCCTCAGCAGCAGGTGCAGCACCACCGCCACCACCACCAGCAGCTGTAGGAGCAGCAACGGCAACAGCACTACCACCAGAAGGAACTGAAGCCAATTTCTCCCTTCCACATGCAATTAGCTCAGTGATGTCTTTGCCTTTGACTTCGGACAAGAGCAACTCTATCCTGTCATCATCAGCCTCAGCTCCAACTGCATTATATTAAAACATCAAACCCACATCCGAAAAACCTAACAATTTCCAACATTTAATTATCAAATCACCATGCAGATATTTGGGGAAATAAGAGAAAGAAAGAATTTACCTGATCCGAGAATATCCTTCAAATCATTGGCAGAAGGGCTAGTGTTCCCTCCCAAGACGGCAAGCAAGTAGGCGGCGATCACCTTCATTTTACTTGATATAAAAAAACAGAGAAAGCGAGAGGGGAAAACCAGCAGCCGACGAAGAAAGCTAGGGTTTTCAGAAAGAGGATGATAAGTGTCGATGTTGCTAGGGTTTTTGTTCTTGGTAACAACCGTCTAATTTTAATCGTGGCCGTTCATTTTAAAATTTTTTTTTCTCATAAAATGCTCTAGGCCCTAAATGGGTAAATGGGTCGAAGCCTATAGCTGCTGAGAGTTCTGAAGCTAATGTTGTGAAATATCTCAAAAAATGAAGCGGATCCAACATTTTTTTCGAAATGTTTACTTGATTACGGATTTATCAATTTTATCACTATTAAAGAGTGTTGAAAAAATTTTTGGGATGTTCAAAGAAAATTTTTCTTTAAATTTTTTTTTTTCAATTTTTAAGCTATTGGATGTGCCTCTGTGTATGAATTGGTAATATAGAGATCAAAGGTTTGTTTAATGCCTTGACTTCTTGTTGCCTGTAGGTTCTCAATCAGATTCATTTACTTGTGTGCGTGCTCTACAGATTAGCTCTTACTTCACAGAAAAACTTATAGGAATTGTCGGTGATATTGTTCGTCATATGAAAGGGTTGAGCGGATCTCAAAAAAAGTGATCAACGGACTGCACATAGGGTTCATCAGCTTGCTAGTAATGCCAACAAAGGAGATGCTGCAGTAGAATTTATTAAGCATGTCCATAATGTTCTGCATGATGAATCTGGTGAAATATGCACGTGTTTGGGAGTTTGCTCCAAAAGCAGAGTTTCATGAACCATGTCATTTCATCTTACCGAATTTAATTTGCGGGTATAGAAATTGGCAATAAATATCTGTATATTTGACTGCACTCATCTAGATAATTGTGCTCACTAAATTCTAATAAGACTAATTAATTGCTTTAATTGTTAACGGTAATAGGCAGTTGCTTGAGTTTGATGCTTTTGGATGGAATGGTGTTGATTTTGTAGTTTCATAGATAGATGGTTCCCCTTGTCTTATCTATGAGGATCTGCATTTTGTCTTTACCATGAAATGATGATCAGCACTGTCGTTAGCATGAAAATTTACCGTCTTTGAAACTCAAACTTGATGCTGATTTGCATTATCTTTTGACAGCCACTGCAACGATTGCAAAGACCCGGATTTATGCCGTGACTCAGCTTTACTGGCTGATGAATGGCGCTATGCTGTGCCCCAGGTCAAAGCTGCACATTTAGCTGAACAATGTGCCTGTGCTGACTCATTTAAATGTAAAGCAGACGTCTCTGAGTTTCGGAGAAAAACTCCATCGAGTGTGCTTTTCCTTCCTGGATCTTAGAATTCAACCCAGGAATCAACCCTGGTTTTAATATAAGCTATGAAAATGTATATATATATATATATATATATATATATATATATATTCAACTGTTACATCTGTTTATCATAAGGTTCAAAGTTACCTCGATGAAAAATGGTTCACTTATTCTTTATTTGTCTCTCTAAGTATGCTGCATCTCATGACATGTTTACAACAGCTTGAATAGAAGATGTATCTTCTTGTTATAAGCTGCTGATAGATGCTAATTTAAGCCAGTATACAGATGCAGCAACAATTTTACCAAAAGAACCATCTTTTCCCGGTAGGACTTTTGCTTGGTTCATCCTCTTTTCTGTTCTCCATTCCCAGCTTTAATGATTCCAGCCTTCTCCTGCACAAACTAAATGTAAGATGTACGGGAGAAAAGGGAGAAAAGTGAGAAAGAAATGGGAAAAGGCAGGCAGCGGTTCAGTGAGGCATTCTTTCTAAATTCAATGCTAACTAATTGATCTCTGCAATTAAAGTTAGAGAGAACTCATCTTTTACTGATTACAAGCAGAAATCCATATTGTGTTTGAGATTAATGAAAATATTTTTTAAAAAAAGATCAGTAAAACAGAATAATAAAGGTTTCATTTATGGGATTGCACTAATAAACATTCGCTGTCTGAATAAAATAAAAGATTTTCGTAAATCAAAGACATTACTTGGTATCTGTAAGACGACCATGCAGGCTCCATCTCTGACGATATCCTTCAATGCCTTCAATTCCACTTGCCAGAATCATGCGCCTATAGGGTAGATGTAATAACATATGATTCAATTCCAATGATGATCAAATAATTCAATATCACACTGTTGCAAATTGTGAAACAAAATAAAATTGTTGATGAGAGGGAAAAAGTAAATGATGATAATGAGTGAAGGTCAATTAACTAGTGACAACAAGGTTTTTCTATAGGAACATGTTACTTTCCTTCTTTCTCTATTCTTTTAAGTTTATTTTCATCCTAGATGCTGCAATGGCAGAAGAGCAATTATGAAACTAAAAACATTGATGAGGTATTTCAAAGAGTAATAATTTGGATCTTTAAATTTCAAAGCTGGGTCAAAAAATCAGAAAGGCAGATATTTGCGGCTTCCACTCAAAGTTTTATCAATATTTAAAAAGCAATTTAGCTTTGCAATTTAGTGCTCCAGAATCTTGACTAGATACAACCTGAGTAACAAATGCACAAAGGATAATACTTCAGGACTATAAAGATACAGGGATTGCAAAAGACATCATCATATCAAGGCCTTCATGACCTAAAGATGCCCCTTGTTCCTACATTTACATACTTGGAAGACATCAACGGGAAAACACAAACATTGAACAGCTTCTACAGCACATCACTTGCATCGGTATAATTTATGACAACAGTATAATTACAAAATTTTAAGTGACTAGAATTACATAAGTCCATCTTCATTACCCAAAGAAAAATCCAGCATTTCTAACCAATTACCTCTCCAATGATGTAACTTCTGATTCAAGCTGACCAGCTCTTTCCTTTGCCTGATCTAAGGGTATTGACAACCCCAATTTTCTCTCGCAATCCTGAAGCCGTTGCCTTAGTTCCTTGTCCTGAAACCCAGATTTGCAAACAAACTTGAGAAAGCTAATTTGAAGTACTAAGTCATGCAACCAAAAATAACCATTAGAAATCTTACCCTCTTTTCAGCACACTGCCGATATAATGCAATCTCATCTTGACAAAATGGCTCAATGTCATTAATTTGTAGACCTATAGCATACAACAACAATAAATGAATGTATGGCTATACAAAAAATACATGAGAAAGAATTTGGTCTATTATTTGGTACAATTAAGGAAATAATTAATCATGTCACCAAAAGGAATCGACATATGAAATCAGCCAATCAATACTATATATAGTCTACCTTTTACATAACATTGTTAAGTAAAAAACACAGGACTTACACAAAAATAAATTCCGTAAGATCCCATCACATAACTCAACACCTTCAAGCACATGAGATGCAATTTCTTGAGGGATGACAGGAGATGGTGGTCCCGTCATTAGATCATCGCCAACCAATATCGTTTCCTCCATAGTTGGTTGTGAATCAACTGAAACCCCACAGCAGGTAACAAGAAAATCATGAGTACAAGTCATTCATAATTTCAAACAATAACACAAATTGTCAGTAAGCAATATTCCTATATCTTTGCATAGACACGGATGCAATGTTTATATTACTAGGTACATGTTTTAACTGATAGGGGGCTATTGTTCAGTGCATAGCTAAAAACTCTGTGCTGATTAAAGCATGTATAATACAAAGAGTGTTAAAGGGTAGAACTATATTCGGTTATACTTCAGCATATAACAAAAATGAAAAATCATTTACCCCCCAAGGGTGTTTGGTTCAAGGGAATCCAAAAATTTTCCCCCAAAATCTTGATTGTGGTTATTTGATCCTCATGTTTGGTTTAGGATTATCCGATTCCTGGGGAAAATATAAGATTCCCAACAATATCCCAATTCCGAGAATCAGAAACCCACCTCCCCTTATAGAATTTTAGGTTTCCAGGCAGAATGTTGCTTGACTTCCAAATTTGACCTAAATAAAAAATTTCCTCTCTCTATGTTACCTTTTTGAAAAGCAAGTGTTAAACTGAAATTAAATTTTATTTTAAATCAATTACAGTGTTTCGTTCAAACAAAATGCCATAATTGGTTCATTTTGTTTCATTTTGCAATTTGTTTTACCATAGATTCTATAACTCACAATTACGACATTTCTATTAAACATATGCTGTAATTTAAAATGTTTGAAATCTAAAATGAAACAATTATGGAGTTTTTCCATTAAATGCCGTAATTGCTTCAAAAGTAGATAATAATTGATGCTTGAAATAATGACAGATGCATTTGACTAGAGAGTTGAGTAGAAATTAATAAAGTGGCCTCCAGGAAAGCTCGAGCCATAATCATTGCCACTTTTCCAAATTTTTCTGACCATTGCATTGAAATTTTTTGTGAATTAAAAAAGATAATAATGATTTATACTAATTTATTATAAACATGAAAATATGCATTTAAGAGAATAGTATATCATATCATTTATCTCATAACAATATTTTCGATTTGTGAGTTTTTATAAATTCCAAAACAAGTGTAAAAATAATGAAATTTTTTTAAAGAAATTTTTAGAAGCAATTATGGCATAATGTGCAATAAACACTGTAATTGAAAGTTTGGTTCAATTTTTAAAACAAGTCAAGTAAGGCATTTTTCTATATGAAACGCGACAATTGAGGATTTTTTTTATTGGTTAGGCTCAATTACAGCATAATATCCACTAAACGCCGTAATTAAAATTTTGGGTTTTTATATTTTTATATAAACTCCAATCATACAAATTATATATTTTTATAAACTCGATTACGGCATAATGTGAATTAAACACTGTAATTGAGTATATTTAATTTTTTTAAAAAATAACAAATCTTTGTATTTCATTTGATGATAAATGCATCATTTGTGGTTTGATTCTTTTTTTTTTTTTTTAAATAAATGAGAGGTTGCCTATAGGTTGTCAAGGAGACTATCAAGGAAATTATGGTAAATATACATGATTTACCATATGGATATTCTCCCAACCAAACAGTTGAATTTGAAAATGAAATGCCCTAAAAATCACACAAAACACCGGATATCACACTTTCCTTCGAAATCCAAAATTCCGTGAACACACGTCCCTTCAAGTAAAATGACGAGCAAAAGTTTTTTTTCTTTTTAACATAAGAAACCATAAATCAAACAAATTCTTTACTTTAAATGCAATAATAAGCATCTAAATAGCAAAATCTTCACATACCATCCATGGTTGCTTTCTAGTTAGCTTTCCACCCAGCAAAAAAGAAACTTAGTACTCGATTATTGTCCAGAGTCAGTTAAAACCTGTGAAATAAGAAAAGATGAGAGAGAATCAATAAAGTTTCTAAGAATTAATTTTTGAAATATTTGATAGAACAAAGCCTAGTGCCAGAAAGAAACAAAGACAGCTTTGAATGTGGAACTTTATAAAAAATGTGAAGAAAAAAAATACCCAGAAGAATATTTAGGAGAAATGTAGTAGTAGATATAAATGGGTTTTCTTAGATTTCCAGAGAAAAGTGGCTTACTTGAGAGAGAGAGACGCAAGAATGGTGGGCGCCTAGGAGGGAGGGAGAACCGAGAAGAGCAAATTTTAGGGCCTTTTGCCCCAACTTGAATGCCTCCAATTAAGCCACAAAGTGCAAGTAAAAAACGAGCGTGAACTGACAAGGCAAACAGGGCTCACTGGGACCCTTTGGCCTTTTGTAATTAAAAAAAAAAGTATATGTAATTAAAATTTCATAAAATAAGACTGAAAATTCTTCTAATTTATAATTTTTTTAACAATATAATAATATATTTCATCCGTCTCAAATTATTTGTGTATTATTAATTTTTAATAAATTAAAAAATTAATTTTAATAAATTTAATATTAAAATTTAAATTTTTTTTATAAAATTAAAATTTTATAATTTCTAATGTTAAAAATAAAAAATTACAAAAAAATAATTTTTAAATTTGAAAAATTTTATATGTTAAATATATATAATATATATAATTTTACACATAAAAAAATGAATAAAGAAAATGGAAATGAGGGAATAATTGTATCATTAATGAAAATATATTAATAAAAATCCAAAAATGAATGAAGAAGGGTTTTTAATTACTACTTGATTAGTATGATTTTTTATTACATTAAAACCAAAACCTAAAGATTATGATTCTGAATAGATTTTTCTCTTTTCCATTGCCATCATGGCTTGCATGTGTAGATTAAAATGAAAGACTTAATCTCTTATCCATCCATGGAATTAAGGACCACCATCCAAAACTCCCTTCACAGCCTACCCTCACTGCTTCAGCACTTTTTTGCCTAAAACTCATTTTTGCAGCACATTGTATTGTATCTAAAAGAAACAGAGAGAACTCCAACTCCCACAGAAAATTCCACATGCAATCCCTGCTGACATGCTCTTCCATTACCCCCTCTTTCCCTCCTTGTTTTATGCAAAATCAACTTTCCAAAGCATCCCGTTTTCCTCCACTCAAGCACATTACTAATCACAATTTAAAACAACTGAAACCAACTTCTTTCCTTAAACCCCATGCTAATCCAAAACTAACCCTTTTTTACTTCAATCTCTACCTTCAGCTTTATGTAAATGCGGGTTTCATGCCAGAAGCACGTGACCTGTTTGACTCCATGCCTGAAAGAACTCTTATTTCTTGGACTATCCTCATGTCAGGCTATGCCAAACATGGTCCTACTAAGGAAGCCTTGGCATTGTTTAAAGAGATGTTGTCTGGTGATAAAACGGTGCGCCCCGACTCGTTTGTTTACGCGGTTGTGTTGAGAAGTTGTGGGCAAATGAGAGAATTGGGGTTCGGCAAAGGAGTGCATGGCCAAGTTTTGAAGAAAGGGAAGGCTTTTCTTGATGGGTTTTTGGAGAATTCTCTGGTAAATATGTATTCAAGTTGTGGCCTATTGGAAGATGCTGTTTTGATTTTTGATGGGATTGAGAAGCCTGGTTTGGTTGCTTGGAGTTCAATGTTAAGTGCTTATGTGAAACATGGACTTGAAAAAGAAGGTTTGAATGTTTTCCTTGATATGGTTTTTAACGGAATTGATTTGGACGCTTTTGTGTTTTCAATGGTTATCAAGGCATGTTCAAATTTGGAGGACTTAAACTTGGGAATTCAAGTTCATGGTTTGATGGTTAAGAAAGGATTTGGGAAGGGGTGTTGTTTGTTTTTGGACAATAGTTTAATGGATTTTTATGCAAAATGTAAGGATTTGAAGGGATTAAGACGAGTTTTTGATCAGCTGTATGAGAAAGATTTAGTTTCTTGGAACACATTAATTATGGGTTATGTCCATAATTTTCATTACCTTGAAGCTCTAAGGAACTTTAGAGTTTTAATGCATGAAGTTTGTTATTGTGATGATTTCACCATAGCAAGTATTCTCAAGGCTGTTTCTAGTTTACATGATAAGGACTATGGCAGGCAGGTTCATGGATATATAGTTAGGACGGGTTTAGTATCAAACAACTATGCAATGTGCTCTCTTTTGGATATGTACATTGAGTGCATTGAGCATGAGAGCTCAGATCGCTGGGAAAACCTTCCTCTTAAGTTGTATGTTGGCTTAGAAAGAGGAGAATCTAATGGGTTTATTATTGCAAGCATGCTAAAATGGTGCTCTATGTTATCAAATCTTGATAATGGGAAACTATTCCACTCCTTGGCCAAGAAACTTGCTGTAGATTCTGATCCATATGTTATAAGCGCTTTGATTGATATGTATTCCAAGTGTGGGATGCCAGAGGCTGCTTTAAGGGTTTTTGAAAGAGTAGAAGATCCAGGCGTTGCAACATGGTCTGCTTTGATCTCTGGACTTTCATGGAATGGGTGGTTTGTGGAAGCACTAACATGTTTCCGGAAAATGCAGTTTAATTGTATTGAAGCAAATGAGTTCACCTTTACTTCTGTTATTCTAGCTAGTAAGGCTTTAGGTGATCTTAGAAAGGGAAGAGAATTGCATTGCAAGATACTCAAAACTTGTTATGAATCAAATGTTTCTGTTGTTAACATGCTCATTAATCTTTATTCAGAATTATCAGATCACCAACAAGCACTCAAGCTATGTTCCTTGATTTCAGATGCTGAGATCTCATGGAATTTATTGATACAGGCCTGCCTCAAAGCAAACGACTATGAAATGATTCACAAACTTCTCAGGAGGATTCAATCATGCTCTGGGTGTATTGAGCCGATCGCTGTTTGTGATATTTTCAACTCCTGTACAAGCCCAGTGCTTTTGCATATGGGGATGCAAGCTCAGGCTTATATGACCAAAAGGGGTCTTCTCTCACATCCTACAAGTGGCAATAGTCTCATTCAGATGTATTCTGGATGTGGACAAATTGCAGAGGCAGATTTGGCATTTGAGTTGATGCCTGAGAAGAGTTCTATGTCTTGGGCATCTATCATCTCTGCAAAAGTGGAGCATGGCCATCCATCTGAAGCTCTGGCTTTATTTAATGATATGAGGAGGAGGAATAAATTAGTGGATTCAAGCACATTAAAATCAACCTTGAAGGCTTGTGGCCAAATGGGTCGGGTAGATGAGGCACATAGCCTATTAATGTCCATGGAAGTGGTTTATGGAGTTGAGCCATCAGAAGAGCATTGTTCCTGCGTTGTAGAAGCTTTTGCACGAGCTGGAATGCTGGAAGAAGTTGATAACTTTATCAATGAGGTTATTCCAGATAAAGTAGGCACAACGATTTGGAGAACACTTCTTTTATGTGCCCGTGTTATTGGTAATATGAACATTGCAAAATTTGCTTTGGAGAAGCTATTGGAACTAGATCCAAGTGACTGCTTTGCAAATCTACTGCTTGAGAAGGTCCTGCTGATGTCCGGTAAGTGGAAAGACGCATCAAAGGCTGTAGTTAAAACTAAAACAATAGGGTCAAATTCTAGTTGGATAGAAGTGCAAAACAAAATATATGAATTTGTCTCAAAGCAAAATCCAACTGAAGAAGTCTCTTACAAATTGGCTGAACTAGAGAGAGAGATGGAGGAGTTGGGATATGTAGCAGATAGGAACCATTTGCTGCATGATGCAGAAGAGGAAGAATATAATGGTGCGGGTCTTGGTCATACAGAGATGAAGGCTATTGCATTTGGTCTCATATCGTTACCCTCCGGAATGCCTATAAGGGTGATCAAGAGTGTTAGGATGTGCGGTGGTTGTCATTCAGCATGCAAGTTCATGTCAACCTTTGTAGATCGAGAATTGGTTGTCAAGGACACTTGCACTTTTCACCACTTCAGAAAGGGCAAATGCAGTTGTCAAGATTCATGGTAGCATCTATCAATGAAATATCTAACTGTACATATACATTATTATATATAGGGCATCTTGTTGATGTTGGTCTTGTGATCAATGTACGAAATAACACTATTCATTCATTGAACAAAATGATTCAAATATAACTTTTCATCTCATAAAATGTAATACAGATTCCTCATCAAACACACCAAACGCTTCCAAGTTGAGATTTAGATGAGGGCTGAACAGAATTTCTTTGTGACAACAAGATTATATGTTGATGTAATGTGCATACAAGGTGAGGTTAGTATTACAGCAGAAGACTTGATTAGACGTGGTTGGACATGGCAACTGCCCTCTATATGTTCCATTAAGTCTGACCTGGTAACTGCTTTATGCAGTGGATATACTACAATCCATTTTTTAGAAGAAAGTTGGATAAGGAAGGTTTGAATTTCAATCTTCTTTTTTGAACCAGTAGCAGACAATCATCCAATGGTGAATCTCATGCTCGTCGGTACTCATCTCCACAATCCCCAATCACTCTAAGTAGATCTTTCCCTCTTTCTGAAACTTCTTGTATGCTGTTCACATCTTCCTCATCAAGCACAAGTGAAAAGATAGCATTTGAGTCTTGGATATGTTCTGACAAACCAAGTCTGACACCTATCATTGATCCCGCTACTGCTTGCTGACATTCAGTAAATCAAACAGAAAGGCAATTATATTTGAATGCATCATAGTGACCACAACTCACATGAAAAGAGTAAAAAGAAAAAACCTTGTAGTTACCTGATCTAGTATGTATTTAACAGCAACAGTTGGGATTGAGACTCTGTGCTTAGATGATACCTTTTTGAGAGTCTGAAGTAAAGTCTGGAATAAACTCCATCCTCCCCAAGCATCAACCATCTGCCACATTCATATCAATATTAAAATACCAAAAATGTTCACTCTCACAAGAGACAAATTACAACTAAGATGGATTTATCAATGCAGTCAATGTAGTTTTACGATTGCAAAGTGGTCACAAACCAGATGAAATTTTGAGAAATGACACACAGAAGACAATTTATACAAATACTTTCTTAAAACAAATTTCTTTCCAGAATTAGCTTCATCCTTAAATTATTGCACAATATAATAAAGCAAGAAGTCCAACTATTTAAGGATTTCTTGTCCAGTGATCACAATTCTCGTTGAATTTTAGAAAATTTGAATTTTAGGTGTTTCTAGACAGACCCCTAATTTGTAAATGGGTTTACAGCATTCCACAGTTTCCAATTTGGTGACATGCCATTGAATTTAAGAGTTAGAATTTCAATATATGAACAGAGAAAAAAGGAGAACAGGGAAAAAGTGTTGTACCCTTTTGTACTTCTGGAGAGAGGGGGTATTTAATGGAGGGCCAGCAAAGGGAATGGCTATGTTGGTGTCAAGGAATTTCTCAGATAATAGACCACCCATTACTGTTCCATACCTGCACTTGGAACTCTCCTCAAATTCAGTAATAAGGTAGAGCACTGCCTAGTTGTCTAATAGAGATCAGTAAACATAAAATCAGTATGAGCAACAAATTTGTCCATCATCTAAGAAAGCCATATTGATTGAGAATACATTTTGGCCTGAAATTCACTAGTCATTGGAAAATTTATCCTGGTTGGCTGGTTCTATCTATCTTGAGAATATTGTCTGCAATGCCTGAGCTAAAGGCTGAGAAGATGTGTGTGTGTGTGTGAGAGAGAGAGAGAGAGAGAGAAAGAGAGAGACGGACGTTATAAGTTTGACTCCTGTAAGCTTACAAAGCTCTGCCATTTTCTGCTGAGGGCGCATGTCAACAATTGAATGTTGCACCTGATGAAACCAGCCAGATATATCATCAGCAATGCCACAGACAACATAGATTAGCAAAGAAAAAGCAATAGAATAAACACTTTATTAGTATTTGTCCAAATAAATAAATAAATACCTGATTACTAACAACAGGAATTCCATTCTCTAGTATTATTTGCAGCCTTTCCGTATCAAAATTTGTCAAAGCAACAGTTTTAATTTTACCTGCACATTGATTGGTAAAGTAGTTTGATCAAATCGAGAATTGCAGGCTATTCAATATCAGTGCTAAAATAACAAAGAATGTATTCTAACCTTCTTCTTTCAAATCAGTAAGGTGTTTTAGTGCATCAAGGTAGCCGGGATTGGAATAATCCCACCTGTTTCAAATCGGATACAGAAAATATTAGTAGTAAGGAATTAACAAAATTAGAGTGTATACAAAAAGTTCAACAAGCCAAGCATGATCAAATAATGGACAAGCTTTTTGGTTGCATATTAAGGAAAGGCAATTAAAATTAAATATCATTGGAAAACTAGTTGATATAAAGTAAGTCAATCTATGAAGGAAATTCATAAAATCCCATCTTGTCTAGCATACATCTAATGAGGTAACCATATTTTGTTGAGTACTTATCAAACAAAAACAATTCCTCAAGAATCAACACAGGATTTGTTGATGTCCAAGGTTTATTAACATAATTAAGAACTGAATGATAAATAGTGTTCTAAGAAAGGTTATACTTCGTACAGTAGGGAGGTAAATTAAGCGAATGCTTTCAGCCAACTCCGTCTACCTTAATACACAACATTGCAGAATTCTTGAATATATTCTTTAACAAATAAAATACTATGAGCTTTTACCTGATGTCATTCCTTATCAGAAGAAATAAAAATCAATTCAAACAGCAAACCCCCCATCTAAACATTATGGTTCCCCATGAAACTAAGAGTCAAGATTGCATCATTGTATCAAGTTTTAGTGGCAGGGCTTCAGTTTCTGCAGCTAATTACTCTAAGTGGACAGCAAGTGTGACAGATAACACTACATGTTAGTACCAGTGAAACTGAAGCATGTCCAAGGAAGGCACATCCATCCTCTTTCGCGAGACATCGATACTCCCCCTGACATAGCTACCTGTCATCTTTACCGGTGATGGCACCCATTTAGTGAGGCTGCATCAGTAATACAAAACCGACAAAATATAGTTAATAAAAGGTTATTACATAACTTAGCACATAGACTAAACTAGCATAAGAACACAAATATTGTTATCAGATATGGCTATAACTCACCCTCTGATCTTATCCAAGTACTCCGGCGGACGCTCATGACGAACTCTATTGATAAAGATGCCATAAAGATCTTCCGCAGGCCCATCTGCAAAATCACGGAAACTTAATAATGACAGGAAAAAGCAAATCCCATATATTCACCAAGACAACTCACGTAGACTATTAACACAATGTAAGAAACCTCAATTACTAAGATTCACATAAAGACCTTGTTCCTCAATCAACTACTACGCACATAAAGACCTTGTTCCTCAATCATCTATACTTGCGTAGAATCATTCAATGAGTGAAACAACTGGACAAGTGGATTTTACTAAGCTATCTTGGCGTGTGGTCGGGAAAATTAATAAAACAAACCAATAACAAGATGCCACGTTTACGAAACAAGAACGTACAGTGATCGGCCATGTCGAAGGTGGAGAGACCTGCGTCAGCGTAGCGAAGCATAGCTTCAACGGCGTCGTCTCGGTCGATTCTGCCCCAACCTCCACTGGTCTGCCACATGCCGTTAAGGACCCTACAAATGTCGAGCGAATCGTTCCCGTTCTTCACAGTGACTCGCCGAGTAGCCTCCTCATCCGTTGTCGCTGTGGTTGTTGTTGAGCAACATTTCACTGAGTTGGGCTTGAGTTGTAGTCGGGAGTTGGAGAACCGAGTTGAAGTGGTGAGTTTGGTAGGTTGTTTGCATTTGAAGATGTTGAGACCAGTGAAGACGGTGGATGAGGCCATTTCTGGTAAAAAGATTCAAAACTCAAAAGAGTGGCGAAACTGCTGGAGCCACACCAGACTGATAAGGTTTTTTTGGGGGTGCTCTAAATACACCACCGAAAATTCACATGCTAATTTAAACCCTTAGTAAATAACAAAAATATTATATACCAAAAAATCATCTCATATTTTTTAAAATAAAATTTTGAGAATTATATTGTATTTTTAAAAATTTATTTTTAAAAAATAATATAATTTTTATAAATAAATTATTGAAACCATAATATAACTTTCGAAAATTTATTCATGAAAATTTTTTGAGTTTTTGAAAATGAATTTTCAATAATTATCTGTATTTTTAAAAATTTGTTTTTGAAAATATATAAAATTTTTTAAAATATATATTTAATTATAAACTCTTGATAATGAAAAAATCGAAACTTTTAATCTTTAAGCTACTGAAAAATAGCATCAATAGATTAATAAATTTGACAGTAAAAATTGATAGTCAAAAAATTAAATATTATTAGATTTATCTGTCTGCTGATAATATTGTCAGCGTTAATATTTTATAAAGTGTTTAAGCTCGAATTAGCATACATACACACACATAAGTCATTAGCGTGCTCATTTTTACTTAATCATATATGTGGATAAAATAAACATGTTAGTTCTCAAGCATGTATGAACATAAAAATATTTTTGTTCTAAGCTCAGAAAATCAAAAAATCCATTTTACCCATGCAAAATAAAAAAAATGGTATTCTCGATTTTCTAGAGATACAAAAGAAATAACAAGTTTATGCCTACATGTTGAGAATATAAATTTCAATTTCATTATTACGTATGATTAAATAAATGGATCCATAAACATACAATTAAGGTTTTTCAATGATTGAAAATAAAATTGAGCTTATCGTAAATAGAGATTCGAGAAATTTCAAATATTTTTGAATATTTATATCTGAGAATACTCAAGACTTTTTGAAAATAGATATTTAAAAAATTTTGAGTTTTTTCGAAAATAAATATTTTAAAAATTTTGAAAAATAAATATCTGAAAATTTTTAAAATTTTTTGGATATCTATTTTCGAAAAATTTTGAAATTTTTCAAAAATTTAATTTTAAGAAACTCGATTATAAAAAGTGAAGAGAGAAAAGATATGAATGAAAAATGAAAAATAAAAAATAAAAGTGAAGCGTATTTAGTAAAAATAAAAAATTGAATTTTAAATTTAAGGTGTATATAAAAATGAAATGTATATAATATTAAATGAGATGTAAATAAAATTCTTCTTTATTTTACGTCTCTTGAATTTTTGTTTGAAGTGAGAAAAAAATGATTGTACCCTTTATTTTTTCCATATTTGATAATTTTTCTATTTACATTGAAGAAACTAACAATACCCCAAATAAAAAGTCACTTCCAAATGAAAGAGCTACATGAAACCAATGCGATGCAAGTTCTAAAGCCATTTTCCTGATGGGAACATATCCTCGATGGGAGGAGGAAAGCAAGAAAGATGAAGCCTGCTATAAAGATGAAGTAAACTGGCCGTTGGGAAGACAAAATAACATACTATAACTGACAAAACTGGCTAATGGACAAAAGGGCTTCGGGTTTTAAATTTTAATCTTGGTTTTTTTTTATATAGGAGATAGGATGCCATATCTTGAAAATAAAAGAAATTCGAAAATATTAAAATTTGAATTTTAAATTGGATATAATGATTATATGTACTAATTAAATTAAAAAATATATTTATGTTTGAGTCTATAAATATTTTGTAATAACATCTAAAACTTTTTTTAAATCATAAATAATTAAAAGAGAATTATTGAAAATGGAAAAAAAATAAAAAGACGATATAACAATTTTATAGTGCTCGTACACGAATTTTTAATATTTAGACACAAAAAAAATGAAATCATAAGATGAAAGAAAGAAGAGGCTTAAAGATTATAAAAGAAGTAAAGAGGAATAGCAATTGAAATTGAAATTCTAATCTCAGGCTGTCCTTCTAAATGCTGACTGGGCTCTAAAGCAGGGCCCAAAGTTTGAGGCCCAATACAGATGACCTGGGCTTGACAAGTAAGAGTTAGACCACATTTATTTGTGAGAAAATGTGAAGGGATTATTGGATGGGATTAGTTGCTTGAAGCTTAACACAAAACTGTTGTGAAATGTTTGTTTAATAACGGGTAAGTTTAGATTTCAAAAAATTCAAATAGAAAGTCAGAAAATAAAATAAAATAATAAATACATTTTTACTTTTTATACAAATAAATAAATTAAGCAACATAATGTTTGTAAAACCAAACACGCCCTTACCTTTTACAAGTAATATGATATTATTTGTTACCGTGCAACTTTAAGCTGAATCATTGCATTCTTAATGTAACAATGAGTTGGAAAATTTCAATCTAATCACCAAAAATGAGAAAATAAAGTTCAAACTACTATATTGTTAGCTATAGAACTAGGATGAATGACGACGGGGCTTTTCACTCTGTGAATTGAGTCGGTCCATTCTAAGGATGCTGATAAAACAGTAGAGTTACTCTTCAATGGTGGCCCTTTGACCTCAACTGTAAGAGATTTCTTCTCATTCAATTCATTGAAAACCAGTGTGTCCGGGGTAACTGTGATCTCCAGAAACTCCGGTACCTTCACGATTGCCTTGAACGTAGAATTTCCAACAGTTCGATGGAAAACAGCTGAACACAAGTTCCTTCTGCAACAAAAGCATGGATGGTGGTTTAGATCATCTGGCCTCCAAACTTGGGGATGCTTGAGCAATTTGCATGCTCATCAATGTCCAAACGTAGACGTCTTCAGCTGTAGCCTTCATGGATAGGAACCTGATGTGGTCAAATTTGGACATCTCATAAACTAAACCAGACTTGACAGCTCTTACAGGATCAATTTGACCAGCTCCATGGGCCAACTCAGAAAATTCATCTCCACCTTCCATTTCAGATGCTGAATTTAAGAAGAAATAAATAATGGGTTAGGTATCATTTAGGAAATTTTTTGCAAAAATTAGTTCATTCAAGAGATTAACTTGTTGACATGGGAGCAGATTTGACGGCACTAGGAGACCATTCAGGATGGAATGATTTGACATAGGCAGCAGCTGCAATAGCATATGAGGGCAAGCCATTGGTGTTCCAGATAAAACTACAATCATAAAAGGAAAGAGAGATCCCCATAGTTCACACAGCTACTGCTATTTATAAGTGGCAAGCTGAAGCTGCCTAATTTTTCGCAATTGTATTTTTTTTTTCAGCCAATCGAAATAATCCTCCGTTTTAGCCTCCAATCTTCCATATGGAGCAAATTCATCACTTGTAACACCATTTTTGTACTGCACATTAATCTTCTTATATTTCTATCATTTCTTTCAAGGAAGAAGGTATAAAAGAATCATTAAGAACATTTTGCATTCTTGCATGAAATGTTATAAGGACAAGTCGCTACGTCCTCTGATGTTCAGATGTGAGATTTTTTTTTTTGGTTAGTTTTCACCATTTTATTGATCGACCAAAGAAAAAATATAGGTACTATTCGCTTTCATTTTATAATTTGACAAACTTGAACATATATCCATGAAGACAATGTCTATTTGAAAGACACTACGATCAATACACTTTGATGATATTCTTAAAACACTCTCGCTGACAGCTATATATAATTTCATGCTGCCATGAACAATTTAATGCATTAAGGAAACATAAAGCTATTGTTTCTGTCTCTTTTTTTTTAATCATTTGAAAATATATTTTACGATGCCAGGAATATGGATGTTCATGAAGTAGTCATCCCAGTCGACGCATTTGGGGTCGAAGTCGAACATATCGTTCTCCACCAGGCTTGATCTCGCTGCCATTCGCAACTTCTCGGTGTTTATATCATCAAAGCTGCACCCAATCAGATAAACAAAGTTTTTGTCAAAGGTTTGTACATTTAAAATTATTAGATTGATTAACTGAGGATTTAACGTAAAAATTTAGAAGACATACACGGCATCGAAGAACAAGTATGGCCTGTAAATGTCTACCAATCGCATAACAAAGTTGATCTTCCTGTTGAGATCGTTGTAAACACCATCAAAGAACCGACAAAATGCTGTATTGGCCAATTCCAATCCCTGTACAAGAAAAAGAGAATGATGATTAATTAGTTCATTGAAGAAATAATTGGAGGATTTTTTTGTTTTGAGCAGCTCCTTTAATGTTTAAAAAACATAGCCTGGCCCTTTCACACCTTCAAAAGTAGCAAGTATCGAACTGCCATGTATCTATGGAAGCTGGCCATGCTGTTCATAACTGTAACCTTGCCAACGATAACAGGCTTTCCATCCTTGTTGATCCAAGGTTTATTGGTAAAGTAACGGAGGCCGTAGTCTTGAAGATTACAATATTTCACAGGGTTTCTCATTGATGAACCAACTTGATAAATGGCCTCGGATGGTTCATGTGATGCATGAGCTATCATGGCTACAATCATGGCATTCACCACCATGTCAGCAGGTATCTGCAAAAGTAACCATCTAAATTTCATTTTTTGAAAAGAAAATTCATCTAGGTAAAATTAATAAAGCATCAATTTTGCAAGAATTTATCTCTTAAATGAATCAGAGAACCATTGGACTAAATCTAAATTATGTACTCGAAAATTTTTTCAAGCATAATAAAAATGGAGGATAACTTTGAACTCACCACATCAACAATTGCCTCCAAATTTCCAAGGAAGAATGTCAATTTTCCTTTACCATAACCAACCGCAAGGCTGTCGATGGTTCTATTATAGCCATACAAAGAACTAGAATTAGTTGTTAAGAAAATTAGAAACAAAAAAAAAAAAAATAATGCAAGGCAAAAAATTAGTTATAGAGTCTCAGCTCTATCAAAATTTTCCAATAATTTCTTTCTCTTCCAATTTTTTTTCAAGAATTCAAGCAAAAAATAACTTAAAGGGTTCTATTATTGTAGCTAACCTTACTCCTTCAGCCCAACCAGGGAAAGGCTCTTTGTAAGTGCTTGTGATGATGGTAGGTCGTATGATAACTGCTGGCATATTTCCTTTGATATCCCTAATCAACA